CCACAGTTCTCAGTGAAGCATCCACAGGCTCTCCAAGCAGCCCAAGCTCAGCATATACAGCTGTTGCATCACACAGCTCTCACACCACAGACTCAGCTGAGGAACTGTCCACAGTGCAAATCTCTTCTGAATCAGCACACTCCCCTGTGCTGGTCCAGACCTGGCCAACCACTGTCCTTCCTGAAGCATCCACAGCGCTCCAAGGAAGCCCTACTTCAGCTCAGGCTATGCCATCCACCTCCAGCTCACACAGTGCAGCCGTGGAAGAGCTGTCCACAGCACGGCTCAGCAGCCCATTCCCAGACTATGCCACAGTGCCCACACGCATCACTGTCCTTTCGGGAGCACCCACAGACTTTGGAACAAGCCCTGCTTCACCTTCCACTGCAGTGTCACCAGATGATGTCCCAACGTCAGTGCAGGTGGAAGGAGTGACATCCTCCCCGGGCAGCACAGCTTCAGAAGGCACAAGGGCACCACCCTTCACTTCCCACAGCACACCACTGTCAGAGCGGTCTACAGCCACACCAGGGAGCTCCGGCGAGGCTCCCACAATGGAGTCCACAGACAGCTCACAGATCACAACTCCAAGTGGAGGACCTACACCCACTGCCCAGAGATCACCAGCAGGAAGCACACCCATGCCCTCTGGTAGCTCCGAAACCACAGTCTGGCCTGAGTCCTCCACTGCCTTCCCAAGCAGCACTGCCTCAGTACAGACTAGGATGCCCCCAGACAGCTCGCAGACGCCAGGGAAGATTCAGGGATCACCAACGGTGCTTAGTACTCCAGGCTCGGCACCTCCAGCAGTGTCATCAGACACCAACTATAGCACTTCCCTCCCTGGAGTTTCGACTACAGTTTCAAGCAGCAAGGAACCATCACAAGAGACAGTGACTACATACACATCCCTTTCTACACCGCTGCCTGAAGGCTCTATTACCTCCCACAGCATTCCAAGTTCTACCACAGTGGGAGCATCACCTGCCGGCTCCCAGTCTACAGCCCTGACTCCCGTTCCTGTGACGTCCTCACCTGGCCTCCCCTCTTCAGGGCACAGCACTGATTCCTCAGAGAGCGCCCCAAGCACGGTGTTGCATGCAGGATCCACAGCCTCCGCCAGTAGCCCCGTGTCGGTGCCCCCAACAGTTATGTCTGACACAACCCCACGCACCTCTGACGCTACCTCCTCAGTTCCCTATGCAGCTTCCTCCTCTTCCTCCTTGGCGGTCTCTGACTATTCTGCTATCCCAGTTGCCTCTAGCTTTTCTCCATCTCCCTCCTCTGCCACCTACCGCCCTACCCAGTCTTCTCTTTCAGCTTTCAGCAGTGGGTCCACTGAACACTCTGTGTCAACTGCCACCAGCAGCACTGCCACAGCCTCTTCCCCACCAAGTAAGTGTCTGCCTGTGTGCCTTGCGTGCATCTTTGTTTCTCCTGTATTTACAATGTGGTCATATTTTCCTGTTCACATTCGTGTTCCCCTTTGCAGTCTCCACTCATCAATCACCCCATCTACTTTTGAGTTTAGCATGGTTTCCTCCTGTGTCCGCTTGTATTTCTCCCTTCCTTGCTCCCTGGTGCTGCATGATCGTCCAGCCCTACCGCCTTTGGTACGTTCAGTACCTTAGCGCTGAAAAGTGGCTGGGAGCCAGTTTCTATTCCTTGGGCTTGTTTGACGAGCTTCCTGCATTCTGTGCCTTCACAGGGCAATGCCTCTACGGGGGATCGTGGAATGGAAACAGGTGCATCTGCAAACCCGGCACCACGGGGCAGAACTGCGAGTTCCTCGTGTACTCCTTCCCCATTGGTAATGACAGCCCCCGAGACTTTTAGCTTTCCTTGTCCCCCTTGACACTTGAAGTAGGATGGCAGTGCCGGAGGGCTTGGCCTCTCCTACTGCCTGGCTGAGGTAGGTCAGGGTCCTTCTGCTTCTGCCTTTGGGACCTTATCCACGAACCTCTGCAGTCCTCCTGTGCTGGCCTGGGGGATTCCTGGTCCAGCCTTTCCTGCATCGCTCCCCTTGACTCCCCCTGAGTCTCAATCCTGGCCACTTCATAGCATTGAGAGCTCAGGACCCAGTGCCTTAGCGACTGCCACCTGACTCCTGGGGTCCCTTCCCACACCTCAACAGGTAGAGAATTCACCTGTCCCAGGGGCTATTCCTGAGAGGTTGCTGCCTCATACCCAGTGAGCCCTGTTTCCACAGAAACCCCAGAATTAGTCAACGCGACTGTCACTATGATAGTGAAAGTAACTCACAGGAGTTTCACCAATGATCTGATTGACGAATCCTCCCCGATGTACCTGAATTTCACTGAGGCCTTCAAGAAGCGGGTAAGATGAATCTCTTTCCCCCACTCCCTCTCCTGTCCTTGTCAATTCAGGAACTCTTTCTTTTTGAAAGAGTTCATTTATCTATCTATGGAAGCAGGATGTTTTAGACAACTATACTGTGCGTTTCTGCTGGTTGATGGAAAGAAGCAGATAATACTTAATTTGTTTTATCTCCTTTTTTCAATTGTTTGTACTTTTTTTTTGTATTTAGGACAGGGTGTATAGGGGCTCACTGCGTAGATCAGACTCAGTGATTCTTCTGTGTACAGTATCCCAAGTACTGAGATTATAGGCGGGCGCCACCATGCCCAGTCTCAATTGCCAGCTCAGTGCACCCCAGGGGCTGGGCCAGCACAGCAGGCCTGGGAATCGAATTCCAGGCCCCTGCGTCTGCCTAAGCAAGCACTTTAATCTGCTGAGCTATTTGGCTGACCCTTGTTTGTACTTTTTAGCTTCTTAATTTCTTATCCGTTTCTTTCTTTCTTCCAGTTTTACAAGCATTTGTCTGGTAATATGAATAACTGGTTAGAAGATAACACTATGTTTTACAACAAATACTGTGAAATTCATATTAGTTTGTTAAGTGAAATTCTGTATCACTTGCAATGTTTTCTGTTTTCTAATTTGTACTCTCTTAAAAAAAAAAAAAAAAAAAAAAAAAGAATTGAGTAAGAGCAGGGCGGCCAGTTGTGTGAAGCCACAAGGTGCTCATCTGAGACCTGAGAGCTTCCACCAGGGAGCCCTGTACCCCACCCTCACTGTGCAGCTTCAGTGCCTGCCCAGTCTCCTTCCTGCAAGCCCCACAGAAGGGGCCTGAGAAGAAGGAGGAGCCAGCGGGGTACAAGTGGAGCTATTTCTTTCAGATGGACGAAGTGTTCAAAGGCCCCACCCTCTCTGAGTACAAAGAGGTGATCATCAGGAATCTGGCGTAAGTACATGGGACAGCTTTCTAGGCTGTCAGAGACCCTCCCCAATCCCTGTGGTTCTGCTTCTTCCTCAGAGTCTCTAGGCGACATTGAGGGCCCTCAGACCATTTATTCACAAGTGCTCCATTCATTCATCAGTACTTAGATTCATTTACCATTTGTTCATTCATTCACTTTATGTTCATTTATTCAACTTTTGTTGTTCTTTCATCAGTTGCTTGTTCACTCACGCACCCTTCATGCTAATTAATTTATCACTTGTTTATTCATTTATTCATCCTTTCATTCAACCTTTATTCACTGAACAAATTATTAAAAGTCTGCTCTATGTAGTGCCTGCCTGGCAAGCACAAGGTCCTGAGTCCAATTTCCAGTACCCCATTAAAAAAAAAAAAAAAGCTAAAAAGTAAATAAGTAAAAGTCTTTCCTGTGCTGGATGCTGAGAATGTAGCACTTCCAGCCTTCCTGGGGCTCAGAGTGGCACAACGCACATAGGACAATGTCTGTGCAGTCTGGTGAGAGTTCTGGGAAGGACACACAAACTGCACCAGGAAGTTCAGAAGCAAGCCTGGGGGTGAGGTGGGGTGGACAGAATTTCTCTTGGGAGATGTGTCGACTCACTGAGCCTGGAGGACCAGTCAAGGGAAGAGGGAAGGAATGAGGGTGTCCCCGGAGAAAGACGAGGACAGTTCCAGGAACCTACAGGCTGCTTGAGGGCAAAGCCATGGTAGGGCGGAGGCGGTTGGAAAGGTGGACTTCAGGGGCCAGCGAGGATGTGGTGAAAGTCTGTCCCCATCAATACAACTCTGGAGCCCCAGAAAAACATGACTTTATTTTTTTTTAGGGGTGGGGAATACTGGGAATTGAACCCATGTCCTTGCACTTGCCAGGCAGGTGCTTGTACCCCTGAGCTACATCCTCAGCCCATCATCATTTTACTTTTTTTCTCTATGGTTCTGACAACTCTAGTTGCATCACAGACTAAGAATCAAAGTTTAAAAGAAAACAATCAAAAAACCCCCTTATTTTACTTAGCATTTTGTCCTCAAATTTCATCCAAGTGGTAGCATGTGGCATAATGTCCTTCCTTTTTAAGGTTGAGTCATATTCCACAGTGTGTAGATATCACATCCCCTGTTGAAGGTCCTTGGGCTCATTTACATTTTGTTGCTATTAAGACTAATTCTGCAGGGGCCGGGAGATAGCTCAGTGGAATAAGCGCTTCCCTGGCAAGCACAAGGACCTGAGTTCAATCCCCGGTTCTTGACCAGGGAGATGGCTCAATGGAATAAGTGCTTATTCTGCTGCCAGGCATGATTGTGCACGCCTATAATTCCAGAATTTGGGAGCTGAGGCAACAGGATCGAGTTTAAGCCAGGCTGGATTATGTAAGGGAGTTCAAGAGACACCCTGTCTCAGTCTCTCCTTGAAAGAATAATCCTGCTATAAATAAAGTGAACAAGGGCTGGCCAAATAGTTCACCAGATTAAAGTGCCTGCCTAGGCAGATGCAGGGGCTGAGAGTTCAATCCCTGGCCCTGCGTACTGGCCTCGCCCCCAGGGTGCATTGAGACAGCAATTGAGACTGGGCGTGGTGGCATGCACCTATAATCCCAGCACTTGGGAGGCTGTAAACAGGAGGATCACTATGAGTCTGATCTATGCAGTGAGACTCTGTGCCCACCACCCCGTACACCCCATCCTAAAAAAAAAAAAAAAAAAAAAAAGTGAGCAAATATTTCAAGGCTCTGTCACCAGTTGAATAGGTATTCAAAAGTCAATCATTTGATCATTGGATAATTCTGTCCACTGCAATCATACTACGCAACCTTCCCACTAACACACAGAGAAGGCCACAATTTCAGCACATCCTCCTTCCAAGAGCTTTTGTTTTTAAGGAGATGTCGGTATTTTTTGTGGCCACTGATATTTCTGTATCTCACGTTGTCCTGCCCTACTCTCTCCCACTTTGGAGTCAGTCCTGTTGCTGCTTTCTCTCCCATGTCCCCCTTGCAGTCTGGGTCCCATTTTCTGGGTGTGTGGGTGACCTAGGGTATCTGATGAAGTAACTCCTGCTTCCAGCAATGGCAGCATCGTGGTGACAAGTGATGTCGTCCTGGAGACAAACTACATCCCGCAGTATAAGGCACTGTTTAGTAACCTCACGAAGATTGTGAGGGCCAAAATCATAAACGAAACCAGTTCATTCGAGGATGATGACGTTAAGTGTCAAGGTAGGTCCGCCTGAAGCACCTCAACAGTGGTGCGAAAGCAGGCCTTGGTCTCTCCTCCTCCTCTTTTGCTCTCCTTTCTTCTGGAATACCAGTCATCACTACAGGAATCCAGAAGCCAGGCTGCAGTGGTAGCAGACACAAGAATCTCTTGGCACAGGAACGGCGGAGATAAGGCTGGGCCCCCGGAAAGGATGGAAAGCCTGCGGTGCTCGGGCTGCTGCGGTTGCTGGAGGAGGACAGGGGTGGGAGCAGAGAAGGGGGGAGAGGAAAGAGAAGAAAGCATAGAGCAGCTCCTCGGGCCATAGGCCGAGTGGACCCTGCAGTAGTGTTGGACAAACATTTTTTTAAATTAAATGATGAGCAAGACTATGGGCAGAGTTGAGTAGAATCAGCCCCAGAGACTAAGACAGCAAAAGGAACAGAGACAGAGGACACAGATAAAGACAGAGGTGCAAACTTTTCATCCCATTTTAGTCACCTATCAGGTATCTGTAGGCTCCAGTGAAAAAGCAATCTGTTTATTTTATTTTTCATTTTTCAGTCCTATGGATTGAGCCCAGGACTTCTGCAGAGCTGCATACCTTTTACATTTCTTTCTTTTGCTTTGCTTTCTTCTTTCTTTCTTTCTTTCTTTCTTTCTTTCTTTCTTTCTTTCTTTCTTTCTTTCTTTCT